GTACAGGTACATCTGTAGACACACCCCACACACAGGTACACTCACACCCCGTACAGGTACATCTGTAGACACACCCCACACACAGGTACACTCACCCCCATACAAGTCCATCTGTAGACATACCCACACACAAGTACACATACACTCCATGCAGGTACATCTGTACGCATACCCCACACACGGTACACTCAAACCTCATACAGGTCCATCTGTAGACATACCCCACTCACAGGTGCTTTGGAAGAAAGACCTGGCTGTTTGCTTCTCAAACATCAGCCATTGAAAACCTCATTGAGTGCAGCTCTGCTCTGATCCACACGGGGCACCATGAGTCAGAGCCAACAGCACAGCCTCTAGCAGCAAGAGCCTCACGGCAGGTCCCAGGACAAACCAAGGGAGGGAGGGGGTCCAGGTTGTCCCTCTCGGTAACCCCAGCTCCCCAGTGACCACCAACTGGAGGCTGCCAGGGTTTTGTGGGGAAGCCAGTGGAAACTCTGGTCTCAGCTGGAGAGTTTGGGGCTACTGCCTCAGCACCCACAGACTGTGGTCTGGGGAGGCAACCCCTCCATGAAATCTGTGTATTGAGGACGGCTCCAAGGACACTTGATCCTTGAGTCTCTGCTCCGGGGTGTCTGCCCCAAGGAGGGATTGGATTGTAGGTCAGGGAACAGGTGTGAGCGCTGGGCCGGAACTGGGACAAGAACCTTTATGTAAACGCGGTGAACTGCAGGCTGTCCAGCTGGTGCTGGGGTCACAGGTTCCCTGACATCCGTCCTCCCAGGACTGGTCAGGCTGACAGATGAGTGTGTGTGCTGGTAGAGGGGACATGCTCCTGCTGGGACAGGCTTGGAGCAAGACCTGAGGTGGGGGGAGAGGTAGCGTGTCCACATGTTCCCCTAGATGTTGGCACGAGGAGTCAGGGATGGAGAAGGAAATGGCCCTATCCTCTGGTGCCAAGCACAGCCTGGCATAGGAAAACGGGGCACTGGAGTATCTTTAGTGCCCAGGGAGGCCCATGGAATGGGCATCGACTGGGACTCGGAGCAGCTAGGGCTCTCCTGTTCGTACTCAGAGATGAGAGGTCTTGGCCCTCTGCCAAGCCCTCGATGGACAGATCTGGCCCTACCCAGTGACCATGACTCAAGTGTCAAGATTCGAATGTGGGTTTAGCTCCCTTTTCCTCACCCTCAGAGAATTTCCTGGGCCCCATTCTGGGAGACCACTAGCTGCACGCAGGCGGAGGGCTAGGAGCACCCCTGTCTCCCACTCACAGGACTCTAGGTGTCCAGGACCCAAGCTGCTGATCCGCACAGGAATAGTGCTGAGAAGGGTGTGGGCTGTTTCGCTTCCTGGTTCCTCTCGGTGGCCTGCCGGGGACCTAGTGGGAGAGGAGAGGCATGTGCTCCTGGGGGTGGGCCCAGGGAGTGTGGGGGCAGAGGTCTCATTGTCCTCTGCAGGCCCCGTTTAATCCTGGGGGGCATCCTTGTCACCTGTTTTCGGTGATGCAGAGGTGATGGTAGGGCCGGCACTGGGGCCGCGGTCCTCCGATGGTTGCCTCTTTGAGAGGGCGAACGTGCCTTGATCTGGGTCTGAGAAAGGGGAGAAATGAGTTCTATTTAAAGGGATGTGTAATTAAGCAAAGCAAACACAAAATCACCATAATTTAGATCTTCAAAAAAGATAATAGCAGAGGCTGGTCCTCCTTCGTTTGGGAGCCTGATGCTGCCGTGAGGGGTGGTGGAGCCAGCACATGGCCGCTGTTCTAATTTTAAACGGACTCTTCCTGGCACTGCCAGTTCACGCGCCGTACTCAGAGGGAAACCAATGTGGAGGTTCGTTGGAAACACCTGGACGAGCATGGACTCTGGGAGTCGTCCCGAACGCATCAGGAGACTCCATCCCCTAGAGTCAGCCAGGGAGGTGGCCAGCTCCTTCCCCAGGGTGCCCCTCACATGGTGTGTGGCCGAATGCCAGCTCCTCGTTTGCTGGCATTGGATAAGATGCAGAGTCTCTGGCCTTGCCAGCCATTATGTGCCCTCTGCGGAAGGTTGGAGGTTTGAGTCCACCCAAAGGCACTTCAGAAAAAGGCCTGGCAACCTACTGAGAAATTCACCCCTGAAAGTCCCGGGAGCGCAGTTCTGCTCCCACACACTGTCGGCCGCTGATTGTTTAACACAGTGAATGGTTTGTCCCCTGCCTGGCGCCAGCCCTGGCTCTGAGCTCCTCTGTGGGGAACAAGGTTGGTGTGGGCCTCGTCAGTGGGCGGCCTGGCTGGTTTGGAAGGTGGTGGCTGAGTCTGGCAATGGTGCCAGGGTGCCTCTTGGGCATCAGGTTCTCCCATCCCTTCCTTCTGACGACAGGTCCCCAGCTCGGCTCTCATCCATGGGGCTGGAAGGGGCAGCACATGCTCATCTTTGGAGAAATGCAGGAAGGATGGCCAGGGAGCAGACAGCACTGCTTCCAGAAGGTCCCTCCCCCACTCTGAGTCACGGGCTTGCTTTGGAGTAAAGAGGAGACATATGTTGTGATCCCTTTTGTCTTCTCAGCTGGGGTGACTAAGTGGAGAAATTTGTGGGCCGAAAGTGCTTGCTGTGGGGAGTTTCCATAGTGGCTGCTGTCTCCATGGCACCGAGCACCTCGGAGGAGCAGGGTGTGGCGGGGGAGGGGCAGGCAGCCCACAGAGTACCCTGCACATGGAGGTCCTCCAGGGTCCCCATTTCCAGGAGAGGCCAGTCATGTGGTAGCTTCTCTGTGTCAGGAGCCTGGTGTCCGGGACAAAGAGGTTAGGAAGTCATTCTGACTCCCAAAGGGGAGTCGGTAGCACGCGTCCCCTACCCCTTGAGGGATCTTGTAGGGGCAGCCGGCTACAACAGCAGTGGACAGCATTGCCCTCACGTACCCAAAGTCCGGCTGTGTCCTGATGACCTGGGGTGACCCGTCCAGTGGTGTTAGGAGACCCTGCTGAGACGTGGCACCCCTGCTCTGTGGAACCTCTGTGCATGCTCAGACTTGTCTAAATAAACAGGTTTTAAAAATGAAGCACCCCCAACCCGCTCTTGGGGAGCCTGCTAATGAGGCCAGCCCTACACCCGGGCCACGTCCAGGGACGTTCCCAAAGCCTAGAAACCCAGAAACGTCTGCAGAGGCCGGTGGGGCCTGGCGCCAGCAGCCCCAGAGGGCTTGGTGACCCGGTTTCACTGCAGCCTTGGGGGGCTGTTGGGAGCAGTCTTTGCTTTCTCCACCCCGGTCAGGGGTCAGGCAGGCTTCGTGTGGCTGAGGCCCTGGTGCCTCCTTGAGTCTGCCAGCCCAGGTGCGGGCCTGTGGTCACGGGACTCCTCGCGCCCTCCCCTCCCAGGCTCTGTGCTGTTGGGGGTGGAGGGAGCTAGGTCGTCCTAGGGCAGTACTGTGGGGGGCTTTTCCTAGAACTTATGCCCCATGCCCTGAGCAAGTGAAGATATTGCCTGTTTTCGGGATTCTGGTGCCGAGGCCCTCCCCCTTTCCCCCCACAAGCATGGGGACCAGCAGAGAATGAATTGTAAGTCCCTCTGGATCCCTGGGCAGTACGACACCCAGCTCCAGGGACTTTAGGTTGGCTCAGTAGTGGGCACTGCTTGGGGGGTGGGGGAGGGCTCATCTCTCGTTCCTCCTCCCACCCCATCCCCCAGCCTCCTAGCTTCTGGGCTTCTTGAAGTCCTGACCCCCCAGCTCAGGAAGCCCCGCCCCGCCTCTGCAGCAGCATGGAGGAGCGGAGAGCTCTGAGCAAGCCCAGTAGACCACTAGTAGTCAGCTATTGCTGCGTGAGGGTGGAAGGAGAAGGGCTCTGGGAGTGTGGGAGCTGCAGATCTGGGCCCTGATGATGGCACTAGGCCCCATCCCAGCCAGCCCCCCAGCTCTCCGAGGGGCCAGGTGGGTGCTGCGCTGGCGGCTCAGAGAACAGTCAGCTCTGCTTGGTCTCCTCCCCCGCCAGCAGCCCGCCCACCTGCACTGAGTTAGTCTTGGAGGCAGCAGTAGAGGTAGGGACGTAGACTCCAGTGCCTGAGAGACTGCTCCCCATGGATGTTGTTCCTGGTCTATCTGGGTCCTGCAGCCCCCAGAGCCCGCACCTCACACACATCACAGAGGAGGGTGTCCCTGAGACCCTGTCTCTGACTCTCATCAGCTCTGAGACAGGATGCCCCAGCCTTCAGAATCAGAACCACCTGCCACCCCCTCATCCCACCCCAGTGTGAGGAAGTCCTAGATGTGAGAGGCCTTGGCTCCCTGTAGCTTCTGTTCTGATGGCCAGAAACAGGGACCCCAGCGACCACCAGCACAGCCACGGTTGTACCCTTCCAGCAGACTCACCCCAGTGCTCGGACAGAGTGGCCCAGAGGGCATTAGCGTCCCTGAAAGATGGCACACTGTTGCTTCCACCTGTGCCCATCGGCCAAAGCCTGTCACATGGCCCAGCCCACCTGCAGTGGGACAGAAGGCGCTGTGGTTCACCTAAGCAGACAATGTTAACTTCCCACAGCCCGTCTCGTCTGCCTACTCGCTGAGGTGCTGGAGGGTTCTCAGGTCTGCTTGCATCTTTGTTATTTCTAATGGATTCCTCGGTTCTGGTATTTTCAGGCTTCCGTATTTGGACCTAGAGCCTGGGTCAGGTAGAGGCCTTGGTGCTGCCAGGCTTTGACAAGGGAAACATATTATTTTTTTCTGTTTTCCCAGGAAGTTTCTGGAGCCCCCTCCTAGATGCACCTGTCTTGTCACCTGGTGTCTTTCTTCCCCCATGTGCCTGTATCTGTTCTGTTTTTATGAGCCAGCTCTCCATTGGTGCATGGTCGCACTGATGTAATACAAGGAAACCTTCTTTTCCAAGCAGGGACATGTTTACAGGAACGGGACTCACGTTATCACGTTTGAGGGGCACAGTTCCATCTGTATGTCAGGCACTAGTTGTAAGCTCACGTTCTGAGGCCCTTTCCTTCTCTGTCCCCCTGCACCCCAGTACATCGACGCCATCAGCAACAAGCAGGGTGAGCTGGAGAGCTATGTGTCGGACGGCTACAAGACCGCCCTGACCGAGGAGCGACGCCGGTTCTGCTTTCTGGTGGAGAAGCAGTGTGCTGTAGCCAAAAACTCCGCTGCTTACCACTCCAAGGTGAGTTGGGACACATCTGGGTTCCACCAGGGGCTGAATGCCCTCCTAGGGAACTTGGTGGGCATTTCAGCATCTCCATAGGGTTAGGGCTCTACATGGAGCATTGGACACATGTAAGACTCTGGTGATGAGATGCCAGGTGCCTCAGAGGAGGGTGGTCCCGACATCCCACCCTGAATGTCCATGGGGTAGAGTTGGGCCCTTCCAGCCCTGGTCTACTGAGGGCGGGCCCAATGGCAGGCCAAGGAAGTTGGCCACAAACTGGACACATTAGAAGCTGACGGGGTGCAAGGGTCCCTGCCTGCCTGCCTGCTGGCATTGCCCCCCCAGGGCACCCCAGTTTTCTACCCCATTGACCTGGAGTCCTGGGGTGGCTGCTGGACCCTGACTCCACTCATCGAGGTGCTGGGGTCCCACCTCTGGCCACACTTGTTCTTCCAAGGACAGAAGAGACTCCTGTCCCCGAGTCCTGGGAGGAAGTGTCCATCTCTCACGACCCTCTATTGGACCCTGGGTCCCAGATAGCCGCCAGCAGCTTTCTGGCCCCAGGAGCTCATCCCCTCTCCCCTGTTCCACACCACTCCCTCCCCACTCCAGAGACCAGTCACACTGCTGTCCTGTCCCCCCCTGGAATCTTTCCCCAGCTCCATGTGGCCTGGCTCTTCCTGTCACTCCTTCCCCACTCACCATCTGCACGCCTGACCTGTGTGGGGTCCCTAGGTGGGCTCTGCCTGGCTCCACTTTGCCTCAGCCCTGGACATCTCTCAGCCCTCATGGTCCTGAGTCCTGGAACCACATGCTTCCTCCTAAGATGCCCCAAGCCCAGCAGCTCCTGGGTGACACTCTGTCCCAGGATTCCTGGGACATGGACCTCTGCTGGTGGGGGGAGGAACAACTGTAAAACACCCAGGTACTGGTCAGAGGCAGAGGCCCCCTGCCTCCGTGCAGGGGCGGGGCATCGAGAGCAGAGGACAGACTCCTGCCACGAGTACAGCACAGTGGTGACAGGGCCTGGGCCTCTCAGGGAGGGGGTAGCCCAGATTCTTGTCACATGTACGCGGTTCATCTGAGCGTACACTGGCACTTGTCCTCAGTCGCACACAAATGTATGCGAACACCTGCATACATGCATGCACAGTGTGGCACATACAGACATGCACATAGGTGCAAACTTGCACAGGTATGTGCATGTGCGTTGACACGCACGGGTGCAAGTACACACACACAGTGGTGCACACAGACACATGCACACAGGTGCAAACACACGTGCATGCATGTTGATACTCATTGGTGCAAGCACACACGCACATGTATGTGCATACATGTTGACACGGGTGCAGGTACACACGCACAGCATGGCACACAGACATGCACACAAAGTGCAAGCACATGCATGTTGATGTGCACTGGTACAGGCATACACACACACACACACACAGAGCTTGGCACACTGAGACACATGCACAGAAGTGCAAACACATATACACACATGCATGTCGACATGAACACAGGTACAGGCACACATGCATGTGTGTGTAAGGCACACGTAAACAAGTGCACACACTGGTACATGTGTGAACATGCAGTCACACATACAGGTGTGCACACATGCTCTGCCCTGTCAGCCCCAGGGATACTGAGCAGACATGCTTCTTGTGTGGAGGGGCCCGCCTGTCAGCCGTACACGTGTGCAGGTGTGTTCCCTTCTGTTCCTGTCCCTGAGGTGCCACAACAGCCACTTGCTGGGAGGGGTGACTGTAGGCGTCCCGAGTTGGGGGTGGGGGTGGGGGGCAGGTGTGGGAACTTGGCCAGCTCCCACCTACATCTGCAGCCCACGTCTTTGCTGCAAGACGCCGTGTACCCTGCAGTGTACGGGTGAGGGCCTGCAGACACTCGCAGCTCCACGGCATGGCAGCAGCGGCCTCTAGTGGTAGACCAGCCCCATGGCGTGGCCTGTGCTCCAGTAGCAATGGCAGAATGAGGAGCAGCAAAGCCCCCTGCCTGCCCACTGCCCCGATGGAGCAGGAAGAAGGTTCAGCTCCTAGGACTTGGTTCCGGCCCATGCCGAAGCATCTGCAGGGTGTAAGGGTGAGGCCAGTATGGCTCTGGGCTACATCTTGCCTCCCTGTCCTGAATGGATAGGAGATGATTCTACTTAACAACAGCCGGACCCCCTCCCAAGTCCAGTCCCCTCAGCCTTTGTCAGCCGGTCACCTGGGTGTTGGGACCAGGCTACCGTGCAAGCCAGAGGGAGGGGACTGGTCACGTGCTGTGGAGCCCCCCCACACCTGGCACCTTGGGGGCAGACTGGAACAGCTGTCTAAGATTACCTGAGAGACGCTCATTGGGGTTCTGTCTCCTTGTACCCCCCACCAGCTGGCCTGAACGTAACAGGGCTCTCCTCAGCCCCATGCCCCCCACCCATGGCTCCCTCAACAGCATGGCTCCTAGCAGCTTCCACACCCTTTCCCACATTGCCCCGGGGTGGGGAGCTGGCCCTCATTAGTGGATCCGAACCTGGGCTCACAGGTGGCCCGCCTCACCTGAAGACACCCCCCTGATGAAAAGCAGCCCCAGCTTTGGCCAAGTGTGCCTCTCCCAGCACCTTACCAGGGAGGGGGGGTCCATTCCGGGGCCACCCTGAGCCTGTGCCGGGTGGGGCTGAGCATACGCGTCCAGGGGGAGGGTGCCCAGCGGGGTCAGCAGTAAGTCCCTCGCCTGTCCTTGCCCCAGGTCAATGGGACATTTCCTTCACCCCCATCCTCCTCTTCCTCCCCCACAGGGTAAGGAGCTTCTAGCTCAGAAGCTGCCGTTGTGGCAACAGGCCTGCGCGGACCCCAACAAGATTCCTGACCGTGCTGTCCAGCTGATGCAGCAGATGGCCAGCAGCAATGGCGCCATCCTGCCAGGGGCTCTGTCGGCCTCCAAGTCCAACCTGGTCATCTCAGACCCCATTCCGGGGGCCAAGCCCCTGCCTGTGCCCCCAGAGCTGGCTCCTTTTGTGGGGGTGAGTGCTCAGCCTTGGGGAACCCGAGGGTGCCCTAGGGCTGAAGTTCTCACCTGGGGCAGGTCCCCAGCAACATTGCCTGTTAACTTCTTCACAGCGCATGTCGGCCCAAGATGGTGCGCCCGTCATGAATGGTGTCTCGGGCCCTGACAGTGAGGACTACAACCCCTGGTCTGACCGCAAGGCCACCCAGCCCAAGTCCCTGTCTCCTCCACAGCCTCAGAGCAAGCTGAGTGACTCGTACTCCAATACCCTGCCCGTGCGCAAGAGCGTGACCCCCAAGAACAGCTACGCCACCAGTAAGAAGGCTCTGGGGGGGCCCGAGGCTCACATATATGCGTGTGTGGGTGATGTGGCGCCTGTGTGACAGATGCATACTGTGATGTCCCCAGCCCCATCCCCTAGTCAGTCTCTGGCTTTTAGCACAAGTCCTGAGTGTGGCTTTGTTGCAGTGAGTGGTCACTGAGTCAGTGTTGGGGGCAGGTAGGGGGCATCAGGAAGGACCAGTTTGTGGAGGGGCCAGGGTCACATTTCCCGAGTTCTTCTGCCTCCCCCTCCCCACTCTTTTCTTGCACCCCCCACCCACAAGCTCATTCATGGCAGGTGTGGGATAGACCCACATCAGCAGAGCCAGGTTCTCTGAGAGTCTTAACTCCCACGACCACACAGAGACTAGGAGCTGAGGCCTTCGTGGTCCACAAAGCAGCCTGCCGACATGTGTAGCGTGCCAGCTCTTGCTAAGGGGACCCTGAACAGCAGATCTAATGAGTGTCTGTACCATGGTCCCAGCCCGGCTGGCCACACTCACCCTCCTTGTCTTCCTGGCAGCCGAGAACAAGACGCTGCCTCGCTCAAGCTCCATGGCAGCAGGCCTGGAGCGAAACGGCCGGATGCGAGTGAAGGCCATCTTCTCCCATGCCGCGGGAGACAATAGTACCCTGCTTAGCTTCAAGGAGGGCGACCTGATCACCCTGCTGGTACCCGAGGCCCGTGATGGCTGGCACTACGGCGAGAGTGAGAAGACCAAGATGTGAGTGGGCGAGGGCCACCACACCCGTTCACAGGCTCCATAGCCCGGAGCTCACCTGGTTGCTGAAAATGCTCATGGTCCTTTGTGTTCACTAGCAGAGGGGCAGTGATCTCTGTGGTCTCCACTTGCGTGTTAGTGGGGGCTTTGTAGGAGTCGATTCTGGATCATGCTGACCCCATGTGCACCCCCGTAGGGTTTTCAGCGAATGGTTTTGGGGAGCAGATTAGCAGCCCTTTGATTTGAGGTACCTCTGGGTGGACCCCCCCTTTTGGTTAGCTGAGGAACTTGTTGTCTTTCAGATGTGGGGCACGGGGCCACCCTGTACCTGCATCCTAACACACAGCATGGCCATTGGTGGGTGTGTGGTTCCCAGGGTGATCTCAGGTTCAACCATGGACCCACCAGCCTGGGGAACTGATGTCACCGCAGTTCTCTGTCACTTCTGTATGTTGTTGTTATGTGCCGCGGAGTCAGGGTTTCCTGTACAGGGTTTCCGAGGCTATAAATCTTTACAGGAGCAGAAAGCCTCAGTTTTCTCCCATGGAGCAGCTGGTAGTTTCAAACTGGTGACCTTGCGGTTCGTAGCCCGATTCGTATCCACTACACTACCAGAGCTGGTGTTGGGTCATCTTGCTGGTGGGCAAGTCAGGGTTCAGGGCGGCTAAGGCACCTAGTCAGACTGCTCAGGGGGTGAACAGTAGAACTGGGACTTCAGTCTGAACCCTTCCAGCCGCCCTCGCGGCTTTCCTCTGTGTCTCAGCACCCTCACGTTTGTCTCAAGCACTCTAGTGTGTTAGGGGCGTTGCCCCCTGGTGACTTCTATTAAACCACTTGGTGCTCGTTGTGGACACCACCGGGGCTGGGGCTCCTGTCCCATCACACCATCGTGTTTATCACCTTGCAGTAAAACCAGACTCAACAGTTTCGCTCAGCTCGCTCTCTCAGCAAGAGGGCAGGGGGCTGTCAAGTGAGGGGACTCCGAGGGGTGGGACATTCTGCCCCAGCCACTTTCCTGACATGAGTTCTGGGTTGTTGGGGCCTGGTGCTGCCAGACTCCTGGTGAGGTAGGTCCTTTCCACAGACATCGGGGGTCAGCGTCCCCCCTCTTAGGGCACAGCCTGCAGGGAGCTGGTGGACTTGGGGTCTCAGGGCAGGCAGCTCCACCTTGGAGCCCAGGGTCCCCAGTGGGGGCTTGGAAGAGGCCTCAACAGAACCGAGTCCCTCTTACATGGGGGGCTTTTCTTTTAGGAGGGGCTGGTTCCCTTTCTCCTACACCCGAGTCCTGGACAGCGATGTCAGTGACCGGTTGCACATGAGGTAAGTACCTGGGGTGGGCGGCAGTGGTGGCCTCAGCTGGGAGGGGCTCTGTGATGAAGGCTCAGGCATGTGGATGCTTGGTTAGGCTTCTAGACTCTTCACCTCCGCAGTGACCAGTTGGGTGGGATGGGACCAAGAGGTGGGACCAGCAGTGGAGCTGTGAGGGGTGGTCCCTCGATGGCCCATGGTTGGGGGTGGGAAACACCCCATAGGACACACAGCTTCATGAACCTTGGGAAGTTTAGTTGGAAGAATCTCTGTCATGAACTGAGGGAGGGCGGGCCCAGGGGAAGCAGACTGGTCCCAGGAGTCCTCGAGCATGTCCCCCAGCGGCTTTCTGGATCAGACTGGGCCAGCAGTGGTGGGGCCCAGCTGACCCGGAGGCCCCCGATCCTCCTCGGCTCCCGCAGCCTACAGCAGGGGAAGAGCAGTAGCACAGGTAACCTGCTGGACAAGGAGGACCTGGCCCTCCCACCGCCTGACTACGGCACATCCTCGCGCGCCTTCCCGGCTCAGACGGCCAGCACCTTCAAGCAGAGGCCCTATAGTGTGGCCGTGCCCGCCTTCTCCCAGGTGAGCCCCCTCCCCCTCTCCCACCTCCACTGAATCGGCCAACACTCCTGGTGTTGGGGTAGGGGGTGTCCAGGGTCGGGGGACCTGTGGCTTAATGAAGGCTCAGCTTTGGAGGGCTTACTGCAAGGTCTACAGCAGCCTGCTCCCGGCTTCCTTGGGGGCCATGGGCTGAGTCCTCCTGGCCTGCAAGTGTTTGGATAGGAGCTGCCGTTTCCCACCACACTCAGCCCTGCCCAGGCCCTGGCTTAGACAGAGCCCCCGCCCGAGCCCCAGCCTTGACCCACTTCTCTTTGGCTCCCCAGGGCTTGGATGACTATGGAGCGAGGTCTGTAAGCAGGTAAGAGTCTCAGTACTGGCACTATGGCGGGTGGGCGGGTGGCTTTTCCTCTAGGGCAGGTGGAATCCATACCTGGATGGTCCAGGTGTAACGCCAGTATGCTGTACCCACAACCCTTAAACGTCCTCAGAGCGCTCTGAAGGTCAGGGCCAAGGGGCTTATTCAGAGATGTGCTGGGGTCTGGCTGCGGGAAGGGTGGTTGTCCCTCACTGGCACACCTGTGCCTTCTCACCTGTGAGGCCTCACCGCAGTGAGCGCGGCCTGGTCCCTGCCCCCACCCAGCTCCCTGCTCGTTCTTTCTGGACCTCCATGCCTAGGGCCTGGTGGAGGCTGCCCCTTCCCTGGCCACTGGGGGCCCTTGTCCTGGCCTCAGGCATCTTCCCTGCTGTCTGTGGCCTGCAGAGCAGCTGAGCAGGATGCTGTGGGCGGTCAGGCTGCCAGCTCTCCTGTGTTTTATCCACAGTGGCAGTGGCACACTGGTATCCACAGTGTGAGGACGTGGACCACGCACAGCCGCTGCTCTGGAGAGCTTGCCACCGCCTCCCCGTCTGCTCCCCCATCCCTTCCTCCCCCCTCCCGCGCCCCCCTCAGCCTCTGCTCTGTCTGGCCTCCTCTGGTCTCCTCTGCTCTCGTTACTTGGTTCCGGGTTGTTCTCTCTCTTCACCGCACTTGTGACCCGACTCTGATCCCAGGATCCATGGTGCTGCTCTGCCCTACCCCCATGCCGTCGCCCCCACCTACCCCCGAGCTGACACCGCTATGGGCCCCCACCTGCCCGGCACCCCATGGTGTCCAAAACACACTCCCCCTTTTCTAAGGCTCGCTGTGAGCTAGGTTTAAAATTTCAAGAAAAAAACAGAAAAAAAAAAAAAAAAATTGAAAAGCAGGAAAAGGACCTTTTTTTCCTGACAAACAAAACTGATGTGCATGGACTCCGGTGTATGTACTGTTATCTTTGCGTCTGACCCTCCCGGCGTGGCGGCTGGCAGGAGAGGGCAGGAGCTCAGACTCTGGGGTTGCCTAGCCCGCCCAGCCCGCCCGGGGGCAGCACCGAGGGGCGGGCAGCACCAAGGGCTTGCGCGGCCACCAAGGCCTGAGGAGCCACTGTGCCCAGTGAGGGAGCCCGCCAGGCAAGGCCCCGTGTCCTGCCGCCTCCCGAGGGCACGACCCAAAGGTGGACGAAGGTGTCCTCACGCAGGGTTTCCCTACCTCACTGTCGCGAGGGGCGGGGGCTCACAGCAGGCGCTGCCCAGCCGCACACGGACATTCCAAAGACCTCCCAAGACCCCCGCCTCCCCCACTTTTTTGAAATCTTTTCTTTAACCAGCCTGGACGCACGTCAAGAACACTCGCCCACCCAGGACAGGGTGTGCCTGGTGGGCAGGCTGGCCCGGGAGGGTGGCATGGGCATGAGCACACCCCGCCCAGCCCCATGGCTCCGGTCAGGGTACAAGCTGGTGGTACTGCTCTGACCCTCGCTAAGCACTCTCGTCTTCTTTGTGTGTCTTGGTAACTTTAGAAACAAACACATGGGACTCAGTGGCTACTGGTATTGTTTCTACACCCACTGAATTCTGAGACGGGAGCGGGCAACTGTCCAGCTGAGCCCTTCCGGCTGGTGGGAGCTGGTGGGGACGCCGTGGTCCACCCTTTCCTGGTGAGATTTAACAAATCCGCCACCTGCCTGTCCGTGGACCTGGCTGCGGCCGGGAGGATTAGTGAAGGAGAAACAGAGCAAGACCCAGACAGACCCTGTTTTATATTTAACACGAAATCAAAGCCGAACATGGACCTATGTAGAAAGAACCTTCCGTGTTGGTATTCTCATTTTGCTAAAAGATTTTCAATCCAGGGGATTCCATGCTCAATGGATGAATGTAGACACAAAACAGCAAAACTTGTATGAAGATGTAAAGTGCTGAAAATATTTTTTCCTTTTTTCTTTCTCCTTTTTCTTTATTTTTTAATCTGAATTGTGCCCTGTACTGCAGTCAATTGTTTGAATAAAAGTTTTATTTATTGCATCGAGCTGGGTTTGGCGCCTCCTTCCACTTCCTTGCTGTGTCTGGGGGCACCGTGTGGAGCCCCCAGGGGCCAGCAGAGAGCAGCTTGGGGAGTTTCCTGTGCTGGGAGATGCGCTGGCCATTGGCATGGGGCCTCCCAGTTCATTTCTCTTCTTGTTCTGACTGGGCACCCCTGGGGTGGACTCCCACTTGCCCAGGGTGATGGACCACTGGGAACCAATGAGGCTTTTTGGCACCTGGTCCAGGAGGGAACCAGGATACCTTGCCTGCTCTGGGGTGTGTCCCTCAGCGCAGAGTCCCTCCGCATGGTGGGAGACCCACTCTCCCCCCTGCATCTGGCGCCACAAGCTCGGGGTGCTGGGTCTCCCCCAGGCAGCAGGCGTCCTCCTCATGCAGCCTCAGACCCCATCCATGGCCCCCACTCTCTGCCCCCTCCAATGAGCCCTTGTGTTTCCTTGCAGTGCGGACGTGGAAGTGGCCAGATTCTGAACAGCCTGACTAGTTAGTAAGTGGCCGTGGGTTTCCGGGCCAGTCACTGTGCTCTTGTGACTCTGGACTGGGCAGAGGGCCGAGGGTTGATGCTCCAGGCCCTCGCAGACCCCTCAATCCCACCTGGGGCTTGGAAAGTGGTTTTTCTTGGTTCTGTCTTAGAGCTTGCGGTTTCTGACTTAGCTGCTTCTGTCTCTCGCTCACCTGCGGGGCAGCCAGTGCTGGCCGGCCTCCTCTTCCTGCCCTCTCCTGGGTGCTTGGGATCCAATGGGGGGGGGGGCATCCCACCAAGCAGCATCAACTTTGGTGGCTGTGTGTTCCTTCACATACTGACTGCTGGGGGAATGGGTCAGAGCTGGTGGGGGCTGCTGAGACCAGGACTGGGTTCCTGGAGACAGCGTGGTGGCTGTGACCTGCCACTCAGGAGAGATAGGACTTGTGATTCTGGCTCGTCCCTCTGTAGCTGGTCCAGGCTGACCCCCTCCCAGCCTCCCGCCTTCGACCCCCTCTCATGGGTCTTCACAACCTCTCCCAGTCAGCACCCTTCCCTTCCCTCACAAGGTCACCGTTCAGTGACTGGGGCGTCAGCCAATCTGTAGGGTCACCAGGGAGCTGGATCTCATAGCTGCAGCATGGATTCTGGAAAGTTCCATAGGAAAGTACTCCCGAGAGTGACCTAAGACAGGGCCTCACCTCTTTCCTCTCAGCCACGGACTCAAGCCCTCAGGTCCCTCTGAACTGGCAGGTGACCAGACTGGCCCAGCCTCTGCCTGCACCACCTCCCCTGGTGTGGGCAGTGGCCTGGGGGACACGGAAGACATTGCCAAGGCCCTGGAGCACCATATGAAGGCTCTACAAGCCCATTACAGTGGCCCTGGCCGGGCAACTCCACAAGGGTGTCCGAGCCACCTTCTGGGGGCTTGGAGGACATCTGTCAGAACCCCGAGTGCCCCCTTGGCTCCAATCCAGAAGGGCTGGAGTCTCGCCTGCTGCATGAGGAGGTGACCCTTCCGAGAGGAGATGGGCGACCATCTTGGTTTGCACTTAGGAATCTTGTTCTTAGTGAACGAACCTCTTCAGAAAGGATCCCGGTGCATTCAGCTCTAGGAAGATTTTGAGTTGGAGCCATATGACTCCAGTTTGCAGAGACATCCATGTGTGCCATCTGGACCCCCAGCTACCTTCCTGCTGGTGCTAGCCTGGAGACCTGTGCCTCTTCTTTAGCTGGATACTGGAGCTATCTCACTCTGCCCCCACCTGGAGTGTGTCCCTCAAAGAGCCTTGTCGAAGTCCAGCTCCTGTATGTGCAGCCTCGCAGGGGTGGGGTCTTGTTTGACGATGCTATCAATCCCCAGTGTCGCACAGGAGCAAGCTGGAGAGACGGTCACACGCAGACAGATGCCACGTGACGCCGCCCAGGGCTGGGGGGACCAGCAGAAGCTGGGGGTGGGATGGGGCAGGACCAGTTCTCAGGCCTTAGGAGGAGCCACACCCTGACCCAGGCTCACAGCCTCCTGAACGTCCATCAGAGACTCCATTTCTGGTCTCCAGAGCTGCCCACTGTGATGGTCACGGCAGCTCTAGGGACACCCAAAGGGGAACCCATCCACAAGCACCCGTGTGGTTCCTGGTGGTCTCTCAGTGTTAGGATCCGTGGTTCCACCTTAGAGTGTGTGGTGCTGACAGACTGCAGCAACCTTGGACTGCCCGAGAACCTTCATCCCCATGGTCACTACCCCACTGTCTTCGTGCACCCGCCAGGCCACATTCTCCCTCTTTATCACAGGACCGTCCATGGTGCTGGCTCTCCTGGTACTGGGCCAGGGTGTCCCCCACTGCTCCCAGGTCTAATCCCCCACAAGCTCCCACTTGGCCATGACTTGGCAAGAGACCAAGGCCACATAGACATGTCCTGGAACCTGGAGACCTTAAGGGCAGGCAGGCCACGGCCATTCCTGCCGTTGTGATGATGGCCTCAGCTAACTCAGAGAGGCTGTGGTGTGAGCCGAAGGGAGCCGGAGCCCCCCGTGCTGGGGCTGAACTTGGCCTTCTAAATCAGGACTAAGTGAAAGACTAGTTACTCTTACGAGAAGCTCAGACGACGTCTTGGAGATGGGAAGCCGTCCGTTGACCTTATTGGTAAACTGTCCCTGCCCGGAATTTCAGTTTTCAGAAGGTACAAACCAAAACCAAGCCACTGCAATCAAGCGGATTCCAACTCACAGCGACCCTGGGTAGGGTTTCCAAGACTGAATATGGGAGCAGACAGTCTCACCTTTCTCCCATGGAGCGGCTGGTGGGGTTGAACCGCCAACCTTGTAGTTAGCAGTCTAGTGCCTAACCCACAGCACCACCAGGGCAAGTTCCTGGGAACCACAGGGAGATGTTGGCCCTGTCCCACACGTCTCCTCCAGGCATACAGGACGATGCCTAGCCCCCAGATGCACCAGAAGCAACCCTGCTCCAGATAACAGCTTCAGAGCCGGTCCGCCTCTACTGGGCATCTATTGAGGCAGAGGCTGCGTGTCACCATGCCGTGACATTACTTCTGGAGCTGCCGGGCCCCCTGCCCGATGGACCCTCTGAGGAGCAATGTTGTGAGGATGTGTATCCAGCCCACTTCTGTGTCATCTTTCCCATCTCTGCCTTTGTCAGTCCAGTGTGTCTGTCAGCTGTGGCCCTAGGGACATGGGGGTGGGAGACACCAGTGTCTGCCTGAGGAGGGGTTGGTCCTGCAGTGGACTGTGGGCATTCGCTCCACCCAAGTCCACCTGCGGCTATATCTGGTGCTCTGCATGCCCAGCCTTCTGCCTGTTGTCTGCCTCCATGTGTGCAGCCTGGTCATGTGACTGCCCAGTGTGTCCTTCGCTACAGAGCTCAGATGCTTTTCCCAGGAGGGCAGCAGCCTTTAGACAGGTGGCCCCCTAACTCTGCTTGGGGGTCTCACTGAGGTCAAGCCCAGTTGTTCCTACTTGGCAAAAGTCCACCTGCTACCCCACCATGGGAGGGTGCCTGGAGCATTTGGGGTGGGTCGAGGTGTGGCTTTGGGGGTCCTGGCTCTGAGTCTAGTGTGCTGCCTGGTGCCGGGTCTGTAGGGGGCACCCCCAGGGGCACGGCCTACCTAGCCCACATTGACACCCTTCTCTCCCCGCAGGAACCCCTTTGCCCACATCCAGTTGAAGCCCACGGTGACAAATGACAGGTCTGCCCCCCTGCTCAGCTGATGACAACGCCTTTGTCCTCTGCCCATGCCGCTCCCACCCCCGTCTCTGCGTTACCACGCCACATGACCCATGTGGAGAATGCTCTCTGTCTGCCCACCCCTCACTGTGGGCTGGGCTGGATCCCAGCTCTTCCAGGAAATTGGTGTCTCGGCTGTGGAGGGACAGAGCTGAGAAGGGGCTGAGCCCCTGGAGCCAAGTTGAGCAGAGGGTTGACATGGCCACTGTATGGTCACGAGCCTTCCATCCACTCCTGTCAGAAGAGGTGTCCAGCCCACCTGCTCTTGGCTCCATGCATGATGGTCAATAAATGGGGCTTCCCCGTTAGTAAGGAGTCCTGGTGTGGCGCTGTGGGTTAATGCACCAGACTGCAAAGCCATTTGAACTGCAAGGTCGGTGGTTCAAGCTCACCAGCCACTCCTCGGAAACCCTATACAGGGTCACTATGTGGGAACCAACTTGATGATACTTAACAAGAACAACCACCCATTAGTACAAGGTGTCATCTGTGGGCCCAGGAGGGGGCGCAACTCATTTGCAAGAATGAATGGTTTGCCTTCCTAGCTTCCTGGCAGCTGCCCCCATCCTGTGCTAAACCTGGGTGAGGCATCATGGAGCTCCCTTGGCAGTCTGGGTGTGAGGGGGACCCTGGCCAGTCTCTTCCTGCTTACCCCCATCTGAAACTCTGCCAGGGGCCCATCTCTGCCTGCCCTTGGAGACCATAAGCAGAATGAGCTCTGTGCTCATGGAGGGTCTGGCTCCCACCTGCCCCACCCTGCCTGGCCACTCTTGCTGGTGGGTTTGCGACTGGGGCCGTTACTGAAACAGCTGCTCATAAAGTTTATGATCAAGGCCCCACTGTCTGACCTCTTAGGGTCCTGAACAGCCTGGACCAGGAGTGGTGGTGTCTCAGGCAGAGCCCACTCCTCACAGGCCCTTGAAGGGGGTATGAAGCCCCTGGTCTAATTGCAGTCCCCCCTCACAGGACAGGGTCAAGGGGACACCAGGTGGCTCTCTGGCTTCCTACTTTAACCTTCACTCTGCCCTACTGGGCCCATTTCACAGGGAGACACACAGAACAGAGGCAGATCTGATAACTGAGCCCAGTGGTGGAGGGGGGAGGGGGATCTCATTAAGATGACCCTCAGAACCTCAGGGACCCCCAGCTCTGATGGCTCAGTTGGGAGACAGGAGGGGCGGCTGGCACGGAGAGGTAGATGATGGGACTATGACCAAGAGGCCACATGCTATGCAGGTATGAGAACAGCTAGGGGCTGCCCCACCATCGTTCGCAGGGGTCTCGGCCCCTAGCCTGGAGAGGTGCCACTCCGGACCCAAGAGGACCCCAAGACCTGGCCCCAACCCTCTCTGCTGGACCCCTGCTGGTCAGGGCTACACACTAGACCTGTGGGTGGGGGACTCACAGCACCCTGATTCCTCAAATCCCCAGCCTCCCACCTGCCCACACTGGGGCTGAGCTGGACCCTGGAAAAGCAGAGGCTGCTGGTGTTGGGAGCGGGGGGCACCCTTCCCCCTCACCCAGGCAGGCAAAGGCTATGGCAGGGGTCCTGGGTGGGACAAGAGAGATCTGAAAGGCAGACCTCTGGGCACCTCGGGCTTGGTGCAGGGGGTGCTGGGTGAGTGCTCTACAAGATCCCCCAAGGGCAGTGCCTCTCCTATCCCCTGCCCATCCCTCCCGTGAACCCTGCAAGTCGAGCTTGCAGCCTGACCTTATACCCTCTGTGAGGGCATCAAACTCCTCAAAAACCACGCGCTGAGCTGGAGGACTTTTTTCCTTTGCTTGATTTCTCTTTTTTTTTAAAAAAAAAAAACAGACCAAGAAGAAAAGCACTACACAGTATCCTAAGCTTCAAAGGAATTAACAAAAGACAGGCCCCGCCCCCACCCAGAAACCAACAATAAACTTTTATGTCTCTTTGGCAACAGTAACTTAAAACCATCCCTCCATTCACTCTGGTAATAGCGGTTACAAAAATATTCCCTGTGCTGCCAAGCTCCACCCAGCCCTTCCCTGCCAACGTGGCCCCCACTGGCTACCTCTAGAACAGGTCCCGCTGTGCCAAGGTGGCACCAAACTCCTTATCCTTCTGGCTGGTTACCAGGGGCCCCCCACCCCAGGCTCCAACAGCAAGGCCCAGGTGGCAAGCAGCCCAGATCCTGGAAGCGGGGGGCCTTGAGGACCACCTGGAATCAGTGAAGGGGAGACAGGGTGGGCGGGTGAGCCCATGGGTCCTCTTCTTGAACGTGGGGGAGGGGGCAATGGAGGCAGAAGATGCCCCCACACTCGATGACATTGCACCTAGGTGAGGCAGTGTCTCTGGGATGGCAGGAGCCGGCCGAGAGGACATGTACTCCCTACAGCCAGACGGTAGGGTCCCTGGCCTCAAGTGGGCAGGGGTCAGATGCCAGGCAGTTCTGCCACATTGACCAGGACAAGGGATGCGCTGCAGGTGAGGGTCCACCCTTGTGTGAGTTTCGGACCCCCACAGCCCGGGACTGCAGGAGTGTGTGTGGAGACACAGGAGAGGGGAGAGCAGCCAACCCCAGTGTCTGGGACCAGCCTGCCCCAAGCAGCCTAGGGTCTGTCTCCTCTGTGTCTTCGGATTACTGTCATTTTCGGTCGCCATCCTCAACGCAGCCTGGGACTGGTGGCCAGAGCTTTGGCAATGCCAGCCTCCAAGGTGGGTGCCACCGGCTCTCAAGCCTCGGTACTGTCACTTCTAGCGTCTCGGGCAGGACCTGCCAAACACCCAGTCATGTTAGAGAGCATGGGATCTGGGACCCAGGCTCCTGAGGCACCCAGAGACCTCCCAGCCTCCCGGTGGGCACCTTGGTTACACCAGGCCTGCTCACTTCGCCCAGTCCTACGACAGGGACCTGCTCAGATGGGGAAACAGACCCGGAAAGGGCGGGCCCAGTCCAGGGTCACTCACTCCCCCCAATCCCCCTCCCCCGGCCTGGCAATGGTGTAACTAACTAGGATTGGCATCAACCAAGATGATAACTTGTGCTCCCCCACCCCAGCCTGGCCGGCCACTTCAGCACAAATGGTCTCCAAACTGTGTGCCCCCAGATACTGCACTGGAAACTGGTGTGGTGATAACATTACCCTTGGGTTTCAAGGGTGCAGTGCGCACCCCAGCCCCTCCCCCCAGGGAGGCCAGTGCCTGGGACTGGCACAGTGTGGACAGGGGCACTTTCAGTGGGGACCACCGCTCTGTCTATAAGGCTGTATGGTTGAGGCCTGTGGGGTTGGCCTGTGTCTGTCCAGAGGGGGTCTTTGAAATAAGTTCAGGAACATCTCCAGGAGCTCATCAGGTGCATGGGCGGGGATAGGCCTCACCTCCCACAGCCCCCACGTCCGAGTCGGACACGTGAGTAATGGAAAACCGGGACCCAGGCGTGGGCGACACGGTGAAGCGGGAGAAGGGACCCGGTGTGGCCGGTTTGGGTGGCGTCGACGGCGAGGGTTCCGCTGCCCCCGCACCTAGTGCTGTCACCAAGGCCGCCTCAGCCGGCATCAGCTGAAAGCCGACGTCCCACTCGAACACGCCACCTGCAACCCATGAAGACACTTGGATCTGCGGACCCGAAGGAACCCCACCCCTCCCCACCCCTCCCCACCCCTCTACTCTCCAGGCCAGCGCAAGCCCCGCCCCGCTCCACTCGCCCTCGAATCCCCATTGCCCTAGTCCCGTTTGTCCCGCCCCTACTCACCCTCCTTAGCGGCGGGGACATCCGGGGCGGAGTCGCCGGCCCGGCGCAGCCTGCCGGGGGCGCTGGGGGAGCCAGGGCCACCTGCCAGGAACGTGGGAGGCGTCTCCGCGCCGGAAAAGGGCTCCCCGAGCTCACGGGTGGGACTCTCCTGGAAGAACCAGAGCGTACATGGCTCGGGCGGTCTCATAGACGGCCGGTACTCCCCGCTATTGCCCGAGGAACCTCAGGACTGCAGCCCACCTGGTCGAAGAGGTAGACAGTGACGTCGTCGAAGAAGGACACGGCCTTCTTCTTGCGCTCCAGGTCCTCGCAGAAGGCCTCGGACAGCAGATTGGGTATCTTGAGCAGGCTGCGCAGGTTACGGGCGCTCTGGCTCTCGGCCACCACCACGGGCACCGGCGGCGCCTCCTCCTCGCTCTCCACGCTCGGCTCCTGTATACTGTAGCAACGGAGTTCCTCGTCCGACTCGTCACTGTCCTCGCTGTCCTCTTCGTCCTCCTCTGACCGACCCTCGAGGGCCAGACCCGGCAGGGCCAGGCAGAGCGGGGCTCTGGAGGCTCCCAGGCCCGCGGCCCGCTCCCCGCCTGCTGCCCCCGCTCTTGTCCGCCCCTGAGGGACCTCCTGGGACTCGGGAAGGTCATTCTCTGAGCCCGGCGGGACCGGGGTCAGCAGGAAAAACTTGGAGCGACTGCGGCTGGGTGCGGGCGGTGCCGCGGCTAGGCCTTGGAGCCCAGGGCAGGCGCTGGGCTCCGGGGATGTTTCCTCAAGTGATGGCGGCGGGGAGGCCTCCCTAGGTCCGGCGCCCTGCGCCTCCCCGGGCAGCCCCGGCCCCGGGAAGCTCTGTGCAGACTGTGAGGTGGGGCTCTCCAGTCTTGATTGTAGAGCGGGGGCGCAGGGAACGTAGTCAAGCTTGTCATTGGTGCCCGTGGGGGGCTCAGTCTCCGCGTCCAGGTCGGAGAAGTAGGCTGAGTCGCGATAGGGGTTCTTCTCGCTGAGGCCGCCAGCCAGGGAGGTGGACAGTCCAGTCTCCGACCCAGGGCTCTCGTCCTTGGACACCAGCTCCTCCAAGGCCTCGGGTTCCCGTGGCTCTTGTGCATCCTTGAGCACGAACTCAGGGGACTCGTAGTTCTCAGTGTCATAGCCACTGTCCAAGGCTCGGGGCTGCCCACCAAGGGGACCAGAAGCCGACGGGCTGAAGATCTCGCAGCCAACATCACTGGCTGAAGATGGAATGTCCAGAGAATCTAGGGAATCGGGGGTCCCCACATGCTTCTGCAGAGAGCGGACGACTGGGGCTGTGTCCAGCTTCTCGGGCCCATCACTGGACAAGTCTGTGAAGACACCCAAAGTGCCCTCGGTCGTTTCTCCGTCCTCACTGCCGGGCACCTGAAGCTCAGGGGAAATGCTGTGGCGGTTGGGGTTCCCTGCTGGCTCAGTGGCAGTGTCTTGACAGCCAGAGGCAGGTGTGGGTGAAGTGGACAGAGTGTCGGGGGCCTCCTCTGCAGGAAGTGGGGCTTCTTCCTGGGAGGGGGAGGGCACAGAGGGAAGAGGTGACTGGGGTTCATGGGAGCCTCCTGCCTCCTCCGCTAGCCTGGGCTCTGCCTCAGGGCAGCTGTCCCCACTCACTGCCACCTCTGCCCAAGGGGACAGAGTGGTGGTAGAGGCCAGGCCTTCAGCAGGACCGAGATGGGGGGCAATGTGGCAGTGACCTGGCTCCTGGTCAGGGGAAGCCGTCTGTGGCCCAAGGAGTGGCTCTCCCGGATCTTCCTCAGGCTCAGCCAGGGGACTGTGCTCTGCGCTAGGGCAGCTGTCTTCGCAGCCGGAGCCCCAAGACTCTGGGGCGCAGCGGCCTCTGCCGCTGTTGTTGTTAGTACTGACGTTGGAGCTCCAGGCCCTTCGCGTCTCCTCGGACACCTTCCCGCCCGGCGATGGCCGGGCCCCGGAGCTCCCTGAAGGTGACACGCACAGCGGGTCCTCGAAGAAGCCGGGACAGAAGGCAGCCTCACACCAGTCCGTGTCCTTGGCGCCTGGTGCCTCGGGCGAGGGCGAGCGCGAGGGACCTGCGGGGATCCGGGCACAGCTCCTGCGCTGGTTGTAGCCCCAGTGGCTCCAGAGGCCGCCGGCAGGGGGCGCACGTCCCAGCAGCGGTTCCATGGCCAGCGAAGCATTGGTGCTGCTGTCCGAGTCATCGTCGTCCGGGCGGACACACCCGGAGCAGTCGGGGTCGTGGCCAGCGGCTGGCTCCTCCAGGCGGATGAAGTACTCGCTGCCCACCGAAGGGCTGTGCGCACTGAGCACCGGCACCACTCCTGGCGGCGCGCCGTCGGGGGCGCAGAGCTCCTGCAGGCGCGCGGCGCGGGCCGGACTCAGCGCGCCCCCCGGCGGCGGGAAGGCCTCGGCGCCGCGGCCAGCCTCCCACTTGTATTCGAAATTGAGGCCATGACTCGTCTCGGTCACCGTCAGCACGTCGTCGCCGTCCGCGTGGAAGCCGTCGCCCGAAAACTGCTCGAGCAGCGGGAAGGATGAGGCGGTGGCGAGCTCGGACGCACTTCCCAGGGCCGGGCCCACCAACCCCGCCCCGGGGCCTGGCCCTCCCCCCTCGCCGCCCCCTCCGGGTCGCAGCGAGCGCCAGCGCCTCTCGAACTCCTCCTCAGCCTCGGTGGTGCCCTTGGCGCACAGGTAGGACAGCAGCAAGTGCACCTCCTCGGCTGTGGGCCGCTGCTCCGGCTGCAGCCAGCAGAATTGCAGCACCTCGTACCTGCGGAGAGACGGGCTTCGCCAGGCCGGGCCGACCACGCCCCTCCCTGGAAGGTGCGGCCCTGGCCAGAGGCCCTGTCCAGTCAGGAAACCTCAGTCCAGCACCCCCCGCCCCTCGCCTTCAGAGTGTGGCAACTGTTTCCTCGTTTGAGGAGTGGGAGGGTCCCTCTTGTTCACACTCAAAATTAGGAGGGGTCTCACGCTAAATTATTAGGCAAGCCCCAAATCTTCAAATTAGACCCAGTGGTTTAGGGGCAGGCTGGGACACCTCCCCTTGGGATCAGCAGCCCTCTCCCACACTTGTGCAGTTAAGAGACCAGTCCCCTCGTGTACAGGGACAGTAAAGTTAGAAGTGGGCCTTAGAGGTCACTGATGCCCAAGGGGAGGCCAGGGGGAGGGGAAGCCGTCTTTATCTAAGTCTGATTGCACTGAGCTCTCCAAGGCAGGGCAACGCCAAACCGAGCAGGCCCAGCTGAGCAAAGGGGCAGGGTCCAGGGGTCCTCACCAGCGGTCAGACAGGGGCAGCTGTAGCTGAGGCTTGGACAACTTGAGTTGCTGCTCTCTGATGACATAGGCCAGCACCTGGCGGTCCGAGTGGTGGGGGTAAGGCTGCTCACCCAGCTCAAAGAGCTCCCAGATGGTCACGCCCAGGGACCTGCAGGGGTGAGAGGGCAGCTGGCTGGCGTCCAAGCCCTGAAGGATCCTGGGTGCCCACGAGGTGAAAAGTGGCCTGCCCTGTCAGCACACTGCCATGCCCCAGCTGTCCAGTTGTCTGTTGTCTGCTCTTCATTCATAGGCACTGACTGACGAGGTCTGGGCTGTCTCCCCAGGAACCCTGTCCAGTATGCTGGAACAGGCTGGAATGAAGTGGGGGGGCCTGGGTGACCACTGCACTTGGGTCTGGGAGAGGGCAACTGGGTTCCTTCCAGTGGGCAGTGGCTTCACCTGGCTCCTTGGGATCCCAGCTGTCCCAGGAGGTATGGGTGGTGGGTTAGGGACAGAACAGAGAAATCACGGTGGCCTCAGATTGTCACTTAGGGAAGGGTCGCCTCAATGGAAAGACGAAGATTGGGGTGAAGGAAGAGTGTTGGTGAGGAAGCACCTTCCAGGAGACCCCTAGAAAGCTCCAGAAAGGGGACGTTACATAGTGGGTGGTCTGTGGGTGTAGGCTCAGGGCTCATCAGAGACAGAGGTGAGATCAGAAGGCAGCATGGGGAGAACAGGTTGGGCAAAGCCAGGAACAAGCAACTGGCCAGAGACATCCCCCCATGTCAGGCTTGGGGCCAGCATGGCCTCAGGGCCTCTGGAAACCCCAGTGCTGGCTCTCCACACCCACCCTGTGCCAGGTTTTGGGTGGGAGCTCAGAATGGAGTGTTCTCAGTCTGTAGTGTGAGCCCAGACCCTCAGCCCAATATGGCCTGACCCACCTACCTCCCCCAAAGACAGTGGGGGGCACCTAAGCCCTCCCATGGCAGAATTGAAGCTATCCACCACAAGTGTGTGCTG